TAACTATGTATTGTGCGTGCGAGGGGGTTGGAGAGAGAGTAACGGTACATGTATCGCCTTGTTGCGGGGAGGGTGACAGAGAGGGGTGGGGAAAAGCGGGGACCTTGTTTCAGTTTCACTCCACATATGACGGCACTACTGAACGGAACTGACTCCCGTTTTATCATAAAAAAATAATCGTTTGCTGAATATGCTGGATGTCCAGAAAAATAGTGCTGTAAAAATTAAGTTATATTTCTTTCAAACTGATATTACGATAGTAAAGAGCACTGTGGCTAGAGAGAGAGAGAGAAAGAGTGAGGGATAGAGAGAGAGAGAGAGAGAGAGAGAGAGAGAGAGAGAGAGAGAGTGATGAGAAATAAACAGAGGAGAGAGAGAGAGAGAGGGAGAGAGAGAGAGAGAGAGAGAGAGAGAGAGAGAGAGAGAGAGAGAGAGAGAGAGAGAGAGAGAGGAGAGTTACTATTGCCTTTGAGGATCGAGGAATGGTGTTATATCAGAATTGACTGAAAATCAACACGTATGTTAATCTTATGATTAATTCTCATTACGAACAAAGGGCGGCCCTTGCCTCGCCGTTTGATTTTGTCATTGACTAACCAGATTAAGTAGGATGTTTAGTCGGGATCAGTGCATGTCGGTCAGCCTGTAGGCTTCTTACAGCTGCCCACCCTCCCTTTGTTTGGATTTATAATCCCGCTGTACAGGAAAGATAATATTACCGACAGGAAATGCGCAGAAAGGATCTTCACTATGATAAGTAGAGAGTATGAGATCGAGGTTGTCCCGGCTCAAACGCTGTAGGTCATCACGTGACCACTTTACGATGACAGAACAAATGTATGAAGGTGAATCTGCTATTCGTAGAAATATTTTTTTTAGATGAACGTGAAGTTCAATATGAGGAAGGATGTACATTTAGATAAATTTACAATTTAATCATGACTTTGTATATTCTTCGTGTACATAAAATCTTTCATTAGAAATGTTATTTCTGAGAATCTATTTGTGGCAGTTATATCCAAAATGTATTGCGAGAAAAGGAGCGACGAGGAGGGAATTATTCATTCTTGGGAATATGTGTTCGGCACTGATGTTTCTTAGAAGGTTCCTATTCTGTCTCCATAATGAGACGAAGGAATAATGAAAATAGTATTATTTTCAGGAACAGGACATAGTTCCAGATTCTTAATGTTAGTTACCATCTGTTATATTTGCTATACGTTTATAAATAATATAATATTTTATAAATAATATGAATTATATTACTTTGTTCAAACATATTTTATTGACATGAATGGCTAATAGGATTGGGCAAGAGTTGGCCAACTTAGGTGGCCCGAATACATGAATACGCACATTGGTTTATTCTTGTTTAAGATTTCAAAGTGACAAACAGAAATATAGTTTATGAAAACAACAACAACAAAAAAACAGAAAGAAGCTTAAAGAAGAACATTAACATATTTTTTCATACATGCGCATGCGTACTTAACACATTAGTTTTATGCATTAATGTACAAGTACACAAATAGGTACATGTACTATTTTATCTTGTGCCTGAAACATATTTTTTCTGATAATTAATTGAACATAGTGTTTGTAATCCGGTAAAATTATAATGAATCTGTTTGATGAACTGAGCAATGTGTTAGAGGGGTAAATTCTGTCACTGTCTCTCGGTATATGAACCATAACATATCGCGTTAAAATAGTTTCAGTCAATTATAAAACTGGTATTCGTGTTCCGATATGTTTGAAAATATGTTATTCTAACATATTTGGCTGCTTTTGAAACATCCCCTAGCTGTCGATGAAAACCATAAACCGAGTTTACGAAAAGTAAATTTTAAAAGAAATTTAACCTAATTGTATAATTGGTTAATATAACAATGGGGCACGGTACGATGTAACTTCACTCCACGGTCCTTTAATCGTTGGTTCGAATCCCAGATTCGCACTAATGCTCAACAGTGATGATCATCTTTGACATTGAAGATTCGGGTTAGAATTGATCTTCAGTAACCCATGCTTGTCGTAAGAGACAATAACGGGATCGGGTGGTCCAGACTCGATTATTTACAGACCGCCGCCATATAGCTGGAATATTGCTGCGTGCGGCGTAAAACTAAACTCACTCACTCACTGAAAAATAGCTGTGAAAAATATGTGCGTGGACCACGGAGACTCAGCGTTGACACCAGGTGAAAAGACACGAGACACGTGAACAGAGACACGTGAACAGAGACTCGTGTACAGAGTAGTGATTATTTATCACGCTGATGCTAGGGACGACTCTCAGGTTTGATAGTTGTAAGGAAATTTCAGTGAACATCTCACAAGTTGGACAAACTCATTGAGGTTGGTGTGTGGACGAGTGTGAACGCAATTAAGGACTTGGCCAAGTGACAGCTGTTGATGGTCAGTTTTTCAAACCATATTCTCTTGACATTCAATGTTGTCTTCTATACCGGATGACATGGACGAACGTAAGTGGTCATTCTCACATTACTGAACCAATTTCCTTTCGTGTAACGTTGATGAATGAAGTATCAGTCAATGGTCATATTATTGTTTATTTATTTATCAGCTATATTGAACATGGGATATGAACAATATTTTTCAATAAGTGATAGAGATTATTAATTTGTTATTGAAAATAGGTTATTAATAATATAACAGGAATTTCCACGTTGTCTAGTTGTATTGTTCAAGTGTATATATGGTTTATATTTAAACGTACTATTGCAGTACTTGAATACTAGAGTATGTATAGTATTTTAGTAGTTTTAGTACTGCAGTATATATATATATATATATATATATATATATATATCATGTGAACTATTACGTACACACACAGAGAGTATTATGTATTGTATTTGGGCATCACATCACACAGTATTTGAATACTAGACTAATACTTTGCGTTAGAGAATGAAGGTAAAAGATGTAGAGATATCCATTTTTAAAATTGGCATCATAATATTGTGCCTTCGTTATTTCTTAACCATAAATGACCGAATGAGCGAGTGAATGACTGAATATATTAATTTGTGGATAGATAACAGAAACTAAATATGACTAGTTTCATGACAACGTTAACGAATGCGCATCCTTAATATACACATTTCTGGTAAGTGTTTTATTGAAACAAAGGATAACATATAATTAGATACCATTACCAGTGTTTTGATAAACTTTATTCATGACGAGTTTTTTTACGCGGTGATGTATGTACAGTCGAGTACCGTTGTGTCGAACTCTGATAACTCGATATCTCGGTTGTCTCGGTATAACATCTCGGTCCCGGCAAAATCATTCAGAATTTATCATTATTCAAGCTCTTTTAACTCGATACAGATGTTTCGATATTTCGGATATCTCGATATAATTTCATGGTCCCAACAAGCAAAATTACCCTTTTAACTCGATATTTGCAAAGAAACTCGATATTCACCTACCTTTCATGGGCAAGTATCCCTCTGAACTGAGGGTAGTTCCACACGTTTACACACTGTGCAGCATGAATCAAAGGGGTGCGTTGTGTAAACTAATTAGTCCTAATTGAGTTGAAGGTGCCACTTGTTTGTTATAAATATCGAGACAACGGTGTTCGACTGTATCTGTCGCAATGGCTGTCAAACACCTGCGTTAATACTGGACGCTAAATATCGGGGATATAACTGAGAGCGGAGGTAAACAACAAACAAACAAACAAACAAACAAAAATGTTTTGGGTCATTTGAAAGTCCATTAGAAAAGACTGCTCCCTTTCAAAGACAAAGATTGTCAACTCTCCAATCAGCATTGCAGATTCGAAAAATAAGCACTTGATCACAAAATGATGTCAAACACATACCAGAAAACAAACGAATTAGCGAAGTGTAGACGAGAAATCGTATCTTGGCAACAACTGTCACACTTCTTGCTTCGAATACCGTGAAATCATGGAATTGACAAGTCGCGTCACATGTGAGGATCAGGTCCAATCACAACACCCCAAGGATCTAATCACAATCTTCCCCCGGATCTTATTATGCATGGGTACATAATAAGTGTTCCTCCTCACAAAGCTCATACGACAGCTGACATCAAATTTGCATCTTGTCTTTGACTTCCATATTTTGAATATGGTTAATTAAAAAATGCATGGACCAGTGGGTGTACCCTAGTGGTTAAAGCGTTCGCTCGTCACGCCGAAGACCCGGGTTCGATTCCCCACATGGGTACAATGTGTGAAGCCCATTTCTAGTGTATGGTACTGGAATATTGCTAAAAGCGGGGTAAAAGGTTCACTCACTAAATATATATCTTTAGTTAAAAAGGTTCAGTCGTTAGCCCGATTAATCTTCATTAAAAGAGAAGAATGTTTAGTTATATGTTTCTATTAAAGCACAATAATATAAACAAATGTAAGATTTCAAAAAGCCCGTTTCAGTTCGAAATATACTGACGATTTAAAATATGTATGCACCGTGTTTAATGGTGGCCCAGAATGAAATAAATCGGAAATGTTCCCTCGACAGTGATATTTCCTTCAGCAAGGTACGTGGCGATGGTAGGGCGGTCGAGTGGACAAGCTTGAACCCGGTGGCACTGGACGTTGGTCATGATATTAATCTCTGGATTGTTTAACCAAGACTGGATTTTTACATGATGTCTTCGTTTATGCTGAATATTGCTGAGCGCGGCATTAAACAGACACTTTTTAGACACGGTGATAGTAGGAGGAATAGCTTCAAAATGGACGAAGCTTTAATTCAATTTTGACGTAAATTCCATATTTGTCTATTGGAGAGCTGCATGTTATATTTTTGATATTCTTATTGTTTCTGGGGGTGAAGTACCCTAGTGGTTGAAGCGTTCGCTCCTCACGCCGAAGACCCGGGTTCGATTCCCCCATGGAGACAATGTGTGAAGCCCATTTCTGGTGTCCCCTGCCGTGATATTGCTGGAATATTGCCCAACTCACTCACTCTTATTGTTTCATTTTCCTTCAGACGTATCGTTGTGGACGCAGGCACACGTTCAGCAGTGGTTGGACTGGGCTATTCAAGAGTACGGCCTCCGTGACGTCGACAACTCCAAGTTCCAACACATCGACGGCCAACAACTCTGTCGGATGAGCAGGGACGACCTTTGCCGCTTGGTGTCGCCACACAACGCAGACATGTTGTACAGACATCTAGCCTACCTCAGACAAGGTAAGACAGTTTTGTCCTACCTTAAGACAAAGTTGTACACACGTTGTACAGACATCTAGCCTACCTCAGACAAGGTTAGACAGATTGGTCCTCTCATGGTCCTAACCAGACAAAGTTGTACAAACATGTTGTACAGACTTCTAGCCTACCTCAGAGAAGGTTAGACAGTTATATACACATGTACAGACATCTAGCCTACCTCAGAGAAGGTTAGACAGTTATACACACATGTACAGACATCTAGCCTACCTCAGACAAGGTTAGACAGTTTTACACACATGTACAGACATCTAGCCTACCTCAGACAATACACACATGTTGTACACAGTTTGGTCCTCTCATGGTCCCTATATCTACGCTGTGTACAGACATCTAGCCTACCTCAGAGAAGGTTAGACAGTTTGGTCCTCTCATGGTCCTAACTTCAGCCTACATCAGAAAGACAAAGTTGTACACACATGTTGTAGACAGTTATACACTGTCAGACATCTAGCCTACCTCAGACAAAGGTTAGACAGATACAAGTTGAACAGTTAGACAGTTATATACACATGTACAGACATCTAGCCTACCTCAGAGAAGGTTAGACAGTTATACACACATGTACAGACTCTAGCCTAGCCTACAGTTATACACACATGTACAGACAGAGAAGGTTAGACAGTTATACACACATGTACAGACTTCTAGCCTACCTCAGACAAGGTTAGACAGAGCCTACCTCAGAGAAGGTTAGACAGTTATACACACATGTACAGACATCTAGCCTACCTCAGACAAGGTTAGACAGTTATACACACATGTTACAGACTTCTAGCCTACCTCAGAGAAGGTTAGACAGTTATACACACATGTACAGACTTCTAGCCTACCTCAGTTATACACACATGTACAGAGAAGGTTTAGACAGTTATACACACATGTACAGACATCTAGCCTACCTCAGACAAGGTTAGATGTAGTTTGGGTCCTCTCATGGTCCTAACTAAGAAATAGTTGTACACACTAACCTCAGACAAGGTTAGACTGTTATACACACATGTTGTGTACAGACATCTAGCCTACCTCAGACAAGGGTACCCCACACGTTGTTCAGAAGGAGAAGGTTAGTTTATACACACATGTTGTACAGACATCTAGCCTACCTCAGACAAGGTTAGACAGTTTGGTCCTCTCATGGTCCTATCTAGCCTAAGAAATAGACAGTTGTACACACACGTTGTTCAGAAATCTCTAGCCTACCTCAGGGAAGGTTAGACAGTTATACACATGTACAGACTTCTAGCCTACCTCAGACATGGTAAGGTTATGACAGTTTGGTCCTCTCATGGTCCTAACTCAGACAAAGTTGGACAGTTTGGTCCTCTCATGGTCCTAACTCAGACAAAGTTGTACACACATGTTGCACAGATATCAAACATATGTATCTGGCGAAGCAGAGCCTAATTGTACGTACGTACTCCAGCAACACTCCCCTCTAATCGACCTGTCTTGCCGTCAAATAAATGGATTTCTTTTCGATCACTCACTCATCCGTTCACTCGCTCATTCACCCTCCAGCTCGATCGTGTCATCGTATCCCAATTACGCAGATCGATGCTAGTGCTGTTGATCACTGGATTGTTTCGATTCGATTATTTACAGACCTCCGCCATATACCTGGAATATTGCTGAGTGCGGCGTAAAACTAAACTCACCCACTCCAGCTCGCTCGCTTACTATTCTTTCTCTTCCGCGCTCGCTTATCCGGCAACTCACATTTTGATCAAGACTCACATTTTGATCAAGACTCACATTTTGATCAGGTGCCTCTGTATATAACAAAACCAATAGTAGGCCTGTAAGACCTCGATGGGGCCCTGGGGAAGCCAAGTGGTTAGAGCGTTCGCTCGTTACGCCGAAGGCCCGGGTTCGATTCTCCACATGGGTACAATGTGTGAAGCCAATTTTGGTGTTTCCCTCCGTGGTATTGGAATATTGCGGAAAACGGTTTAAAAACACGACTAACACACTCGCTCTAGTAATATCCCTTGAATTTTCAGGACCAAGTCCCGCCCGCCAAACACCAGAACTGCCTGAGCCCTGCCCGGGACCGATTGGGATGCAGCGGGCGAGCTACGTGCACAACAGTGGGGGGACGGTCTACGGTGCTCCTAAACCGCCAGGTGAGATAATTACAGGTGATAACAGTCCGATCACCAGCGTGAGGCACTTTTATGGGCTTACAACTCGTGATCCTGGCACTGTTGGTGTTCAGAAAGTGATGCTTGTCGTAAGAGGAGACTAACGGCTCGGTTGGTCAGGCTCGCTGACACATGTCATCGTAAATTGATGCTCATGCTGTTGATCACTGGATTGTCTAGTCCAGACTCGATTATTTACAGATGCTCCACCATGTAGCTGGAATATTGCTGTTTGCGGCGGTAAACAACAAACAAAACAAAACAAAACAAAAACAAAACAAATATTGCCTTACGGGAAGAACTATGTTATCTAAGCTTAGTGACTGAATTCTACGTCTTGGTCAGGATATGGTTCAGCTGCATCACCGCTGCCCATAAATAATGGAATCCGGCCCGGATAAGCCAGACACCATCAGCAGCCACAACACCATAGGGGGCATGGGACACAATCTGTCATGTCACGGAGCCTAACTTTACAATCGTCTTTAGTTATATGTAGCGCTAAGGTTTGGATACAGTTGACGTATCCTGCCCCAGAATATGTGTACACGTAAAGTGAGTGATTGGGTGACAGGGTGACAGGGTGACAGGGTGGGTGAATTAGTTGGTGAGTTGGTTGGTGAGTTGGTGGGTGAGGTGGCGAGTTTGTGGGTGAGTTATTTGGTGAATTAGTTGGTGAGTTGGTGGTTGAGTTATTGGGTGAATTAGGTGGCGAGTTGGTGGGTGAATTTGTTGGTGAGTTTGTGGGTGAGTTATTTGGTGAATTAGTTGGTGAGTTGGTGGTTGAGTTATTGGGTGAATTAGGTGGCGAGTTGGTGGGTGCATTAGTTGGTGAGTTGGTGGGTGAGTTGCCGGGTTATTTTATTGGGTGAGGTGCCGGGCGAGTTTTTGGGTGAGTTGCCGGATAAGTTATCAGGTGAGGTACCAGGTGAGTTAGTGGGTGAATTAGTTGGTGGGTGAGCTATTGGTGAGTTAGTGGGTGAGTTGCCGGTGAGCTGGCGGGTGAGTTAGTGAGTGAGTTGTCGGGTGAGCAAGCGTGAAAGAGACAAAATAGTCAGCGAGCGAGCTGGAGGGTGAGTGAGCGAGTGAACGTACGAGCGAGTGATGGAAAAGAAATCCATTCATTTGACAGTATGTCATTTCGATGAAGAGGGTCACCCCACGCAATGCTGGCCTTAAATGTCCATCACTTTGGTCAAACCCACGGACCTGGTACAGTCTGTCTCTGTACCTGAGAGAAACCATTAAATTAGCATTCACCTCAAGCCTAGAATGAGCTGGCACTTTTAGAGTGCCCCAGCTCTGAAATTAAGACTTGAAATTAAATTGGACCTATTTGCATTTGTTTTATAGATAAAATAATGCTATGTCTAGGACAGAGGCAGATTAAACATATACAAGTAAAACTATCTCCATTAACGTTTGGAGGTTCCAATAGACGGCGACATCTGATTGGTTAAGGTTTGGGGAATACCACTTTCGCATCATCCCAGTAACTTTCAGTAACTCAAGTCATTGTCGAGGTGATGTTGATGATGATGGTGATGATGATGATGATGATGATGATGATTTGGAGATTTAACATGCGCTTCCCGACATATTGCGTAAAAAATGCGTCAATCCTGATTTCTAGATTCTTTTGCATAACACGTGATAGCTTCTTGGCCAATGAACATAGAGGAAAACATCGCATCATTAGCTATAAGGCTTAGAGACTGAATTTAAATCGTTAAATGACCCTTAATTCGTGCATAATATTTTGATAATTTCATCTGCTTGCTACTCTGTTGTTGCATATTTGTGAGCAAAATTACACTTTTACTATTATTATAAAATCTTAGAATAAATTCATAAGAATGGTTGAACGTCTTTTAGCAATGCTCCACCAATATCACTGCTTGGGATGTTAGAAAATGGGCGCTCTTTTGTGCAACCTACTGGCCCAGTTCCACTAAAACAGGACCAAGAAGGAACCTGATGAATATACTATTCATATGAATAATACATCCTAGGAATGGTTTTGAAATAGGCAAAAGTGAATGTCTCTATTTACAAACACGTGAAGACGTGCGTTATAAAATCATCAAAACGTGGCTCTGAAAAATAAACCGATTTTCGTTTTTCAGTCTCGTCGCGTGTGAATTGTAGTTTGACTGTATCAAACAATTTAAATACTAAAAGCTAACTAAATATCAATATAACAAATATGCTTTTGAAGTATTTATTTCTAAATGTTAAAACAAACTGACGGAAATTACTGGAGCAGAGGAAACAGGTGTTACAAGAGTTGTCTCCCTTTGACTAACTCTCGAGGGAGCACACGCTTCAATAGTTTGCGTGCAATGGCGATGATGTATTAGGGGAAGGGTTTCATTGTCAACACAGATGACAGCCATGCGACAGTATCTCACGAGTGTGTACAAACGTTTTCATTAAGCCAGTTCAGTGGAGAAAGCAGACAGTGTTTTCGAGCAAATATTAGGCTATATCGTGATGACAGGGTATAGAACGCTGAATGTTTGCCACGAGGATGTGTCGGGGAAAATGGCGACATGTACTTCAATGTGTACGTTCGTGCGTTCACACAAAGCGAGATAATTCATAAACAAAGGCGCGTTAGATACATTGTACGTGAATAAACAGCGCAGCTATATGATCGGCCAAGCTTGGGAGGTTTTATCAGCCGTTGTCACGTTTGCTTCATCGCAACCGTTTCGCTGATTGTATCAAATAATTACACGTAATGTAATATTTGTCGGCTACTTCTAACATTTTGATGATCAGTGCTGTCGTTGGACCTACGACGCCTGTGTGTGTTGTCGTTAACGTTGATGACGTTGATCACCGCATCTGACGTAGGCTTGTATCTGTAAAGGTATACTGTCGGAGAAAATGAACTCTTTTGATTTTGCGCTACACTACCGGGCAAAAGAAAGTTACCATCGACTTCACTATTCCAAAATATAGAAGCAAAGATGTATGTGGCCTGACCACCCGATCCCGTTAGTCGCCTCTTACGACAAGCATGTTTGTGGAAGACATGTTCTAATATTGTCATTGTTGTTTTGACCGCCTCCGTGGTGTAGTGGTTAGAGCGTCCGCCCGGAGAGCGGACGGTCGCAGGTTCGATCCCCGACCGCGTCAGACCAAAAGACGTTAAAAAATGGTACTTGTTGGTCTCTGCCTGGCGCTCGGCATTAATGGGTACAAGAAGGACTGGTCGGCTCGGAGTCAGTATAATGTGTCTGAGTGGGGTATTCATGCTTCACTGTGGCATGGTATCTCAGTGGGCTAGCACTATAAAACCAGTTTCAGTCTGGGCTAGTACAAGCAGCCGCACATACACATACACACGCATGCACGTCGTCATATGAGCGAAATATTCTCCAGCGCGACATTAAAACCCAATTTCACCTCACCTCACATCACCTCACCTCATTGTTGTTTAATCATCATCATAAACCATCACCATTTTGATAAATCTGCGTTTCACATGACCATTGTCGGCAAAGTGTGTTTCAGTGATGAACCGCTTTTTGTTTCTTTCCGTGATTTGAATAATACCTTATATGATTGTCTTAGTTGACAAGAGTTGTGCTCCTTTGGTGGGTTTTAACTATAATCATTATTATAAGTAGATCATTTCGATGAAGTTTCCGAATATCTGAAAGTTTAGCATAGGTGAGTCTTCATGTGTTGATATTTATCGAGTCTACAACATCAACGAGAAAGTCATAAAGGAAACCTTTTTTTCAAAGAGCTGGTACACCTTGTTTAAGGAGATTAAAGATTTGAACGTTAAGCGTGAAACTCCGGCCTCACGGAAGAATAGGTACTTAGTATAGTGGCCTCTCAGTGATTCCAGGGCAAAAAAGTCATCGGTATATTTGCACCTGGATGACTTCAGAGCGGAATAATTTACACCTTGATGATTTCAGAACAGAATAGGTCATTGGTACATTTGCACCTTGATGACTTCAGAGCAGAATAGGTCTTATGTATATTTGCACCTTGATGATTTCAGAACAGAATAGGTCTTAGGTACATTTGCACCTTGATGACTTCAGAGCAGAATAGGTCTTATGTATATTTGCACCTTGATGATTTCAGAACAGAATAGGTCTTAGGTACATTTGCACCTTGAAAACTTCAGAGCAGAATAGGTCTTATGTATGTTTGCACCTTGATGATTTCAGAACAGAATAGGTCTTAGTCACATTTGCACCTTGATGATTTCAGAACAGAATAGGTCTTAGGTACATTTGCACCTTGATGACTTCAGAGCGGAATAGGTCTTATGTATATTGCACCTTCATGTTTTCAGAGCAGAATAGGTCATTGGTATATTTGCACCTTGATGGCTTCAGAGCGGAATAGTTCTTAGGTTCATATTGACCTAGATGACTTCAGAGCAGAATAGGTCTAAGGTATATTTGCACCTTGATGACTTCAGAGCAGAATAGGTCTTCGGTATATTTGCACCTGGATGACGTCAGAGCACAAAAGGACATAAACTTTGTCGAGAATGTGTGGGGTCTTTTGCTACGATGTGTGACCTCATTGAATGCTAACCGTCTTGTCAACCTCTGATACGCATGTTCTTGATTAATAAGGAAGTCAGTTTGTCGAACAACATTCAGATATTTGTGTGAGCTTGTGTGAACAACATTTTTCACCTGTCGGTGTATAGTCTCTCTCTAATATAGCCACAAATGTGACGTCACAGTGTGACTAAACGCCACAGTCGGATGTGAGTACATCCGTTCAGTATCATGTGGGCATGGACACAAAAGGCGATTGTTGTCGTCGCATGTTCCTTTGGAAACAAGGATGGGTTGCCATGTACGCAGAAAACAAGCCATTAAGAAATTCAACACTGATCGGCGGCTTGACGCTTAAACGCTTGAACCATTTGGCTACTATATTCCCTGCTAAGGACCACTTTGATTATACATACAAAGTATATTGTATGTACATAGCTA